ATGTAACCAGATCATTGTGAATCTTAACAATCCAGATTGTTTTAAGTGAGAAACAATGTTATTAACTGATGAAAATAATAAACCATAATCTTAAAAAAAGAAGCATTAACAGGCTCCAGAATAAAAACAATTCTCTAGTTAACACGTTAAAGGAGGTAAATAAAGTCTAAGCATGTGTCAAAAAGCCAACAGGAGCACCACGCCTATTGGCAGAAATGAGACGTACTCGTGAAGTCACCCCAGAAAATGATTGGTCAGGAAAATAATCCACTCACAAGAGGTCACAGCACCATCCATCAAAACCTGACTTGAGCCAACTTATACAGTCCAAACTAAACCAGCAGGACAGAGTTTCAGGGTCTCATTACATCCTTTTAATCTTTTCTTTAAATTAAGGGAAATTAAAGAGAAACCGTCTCATAATTAGTGCAAAAGGAGGAAGGAGGATCACTACTTCACCACAAACTGCACATAACAACCATCTCTTCGACAACAGAGCCTCAAAAACTTCTGATCAACTAATCAGAAAACTTTGATCATCGGGTAAATGTTTCCATAAGGAGTAAAGACGACAGTGCAAAGCTCACTGTCACATCAAAGCATGCAGGTCACCTCGGTCCACGTACATTTCAGCCTCCTCAGTGCATAATGCAAATACAAAGTCCAACTGCAACTCACAATGCACAATCTAATGCAGCCCTGCATGAATCAAAACTTAATATCATCCCTCTTCATCTCCTCCAGGCAGCCTAACAGTCTACCTCCAGAGTGGGGAGGGGAAAAAAACCTTCTCTGTCCCTAAAGTATCTTATTGTTATTCCTAATCACTCCTCAGAATCATAAACAATCTCACAACTTTTTTTTTTTTATTATTCATCCCTCTCTGTTTATGCAGTTCCCAGAAGGCATTGCCTTTTAGACTCTCCCTCTCCAGCGGCAAAGATGTCAGGAAAACAAATAACGTCGGAAAACAAAACAAAACAGTCTCAAAAGTCTCCTGAAATACCTTGTGGATGCCCAGAGGAAGGCGCTGGACAGACAGATGAGCAGATAGGTTTCCTCTGTCCTCCTCTCTCAGGCTGCCTCCTCTCTCGGCGTGCTGTGGAGAGTGACTGCTCACAGCCCGCCTGGCATATCTAATTAGAGCCAGGCTGTTGCCACTATCGGGCAGAGGATCTACCTCTCCAATCTCTCCTGACTCAATCTTCCCCATCTCTGATTTTCTTTTATATTTATGCTGGAATATTTAATTGTAGACAAAAGGTTACTCTGGGCTCTATTCATCGCACACAGGCAGAATAATCTCCTTTAAAAGGCTTGACATTTCAGGCTTTTCAAAAGGGGCTGAAAAAATTATATCCCCGCTTTTGTTAATCAATGAAGTAGAACTCCCCCGAACAAAAGAATTAAATTGCTTGGTTGGGTTAATAAAACACACAGAAATAGCTGCTTCCTGTGGGCTTTTGTGCCTGCCACTGGCTCCCCCCATATGCAACCAGCACTGTAATTCCATATGATTTGGGGGGCAAAACTCTCATTTCTCCACACAGTTGGCTTTTTAAATCCTATTGAATGAGCAGTCTGTGAGGCTGGCTGATTGGGACCTCTTGCCTGAGCCTGGCTGCCTAGCTGCCTGGCTAGCAGAACAGGCTCTCTCCATTCAAAGATGACTTTCACTAAGCAGAGACAGCGGGTCCACTACAATTTACAATTTCTATACTGCCCCTGCCTCAGAAAAACATTGTAATTATGCAAATGATAGGGGCAATAATTAGGCCCTTCACTGTCCCATTGTGTTAGCTGCTGTCGCGCTTCAGTCCAATGGTAAGAGAGACGCAGCAGGGCACGTTTGGGTTTAAATTGCTCCTTACAGACAGCCTGCAGATGTTCACAGCATCTTCAGTCCTATAACTAGCCATCACCCCGAGCCAGGGTGCCTTCATATACGACACAGAGGCAGCAGACTCTGGTTTAGCTGTGGGAGAGCTGTCTGAGACTGTCACTGCAACATACAGCTGCTGTATTAGCCAGAGGCCTGCTGGTATGTGACACACTCCATTGTGTCTGTGAATACCTGTATGTTACGCCTGTATGTGAGCAGCTCAGTTAGTCAGACGACCTGCCTGCCCTTATGTGTTGTATTGTAATCAACCTGTATGAATAACCACAAGTTTGGTAATTCGCTTTTCAAGTCGTTCACTGGCTCAAGCTTCTTAATCGGCACACATTTGTAGTTTTTCTGTTTTACATCACTTATAAACTGAATATTCCTGAGTTTCTGACTATTAGTGAGACAAAAACAAACAATCTGAAGACGTCAACTTGAGCTTTGGGAAATGCCAGTGTCCGTTTTTTACTATTTTCTGGCCATTTTGTGAAAATGTTTATGCAGTTAAAACTATGTAACTTCTGCCGCTAGGGGGTGTCTCACATAAAAACAACAAAAGATAATAAAAGATATAAAAGTTTAAGATGATGTTGTGAAGTAGAATTGGAGTTGTCTTCATTGTTAAACAACCACCACTGCTGATGCAAATCTGACAAACATTTGGGATAATATAAGTACACAACAAAAGTCTTTTTTAGACCTTTTAATGCGGAAATGTTACATATTATATCTTCAATTGGAAAAATAATCATCAATCATAAGTAACATTCCTATATAATGTAACTGTATGCAAGTTAAAAATAATAGAAGATAGGTAATGTGTTTGTCAGCGAGATCAAGGATGTACATTTGCACTGAACTGCTGATATTTTACGGTGCATTGAACAGTGGGGAGAAGATGTTGGAATATGACCTCCAGCTACTCTCTCGTCTAAATGGAACAAAATGTCCAGCTGCCAAGATCTCTCACAAGAAATAACATTAAGCTATAGTTGAAAAAACTATTTGTCCTCTTAAATCTTGCAAGCCACATCACTATTATAAAGTCAGTTTCAGAGTCTCGGTTGCCATTCATTTTTTAAAAAGTTTAAATTAGATACCAAGGATACCACTCCGCTGACTAGAACCTTTAAAAGTGCAAAAATACTTACCAAACTTAAATAAGGAGAACACAGAGTGAGTAATGTCCATGCCTTTCCAGTGACCGCTGATATGAAACACGTGTATTTAACAAAAACTCTCACTCTTTAACCAAATTCATCCCAGTTTTAACCTGGAAACCTTTTGAGCTGCAAATCACTTTAATCCACACGGGGTTGCTTGTAAATTCTTCAGATGTGGCACCTGGCCACATATTTAGCTCAATCTGAGAATTAGATACTGAATTAATTAACTCTCACTAGCCTGGTAAAATATTTTAGCAAAATAAAGTCTTACAGTCAGGTCCAACTAAGTGGACGGATTTTATTATTGTATCGCATTCATGCTTAAACCATTGGGTACTGGACCGGGATAAAACATTTATAGTTTATGCAACAAAAACCTGTCCAGACTTTATGTCCAAATGTCTAATTTAATGCCCAAGAGAGGATCGATATTGAGCTGTTACACGGCAAAGAAATAATCTAAATCATCTGCATCAATTTAACCATCTTCCACACTTATATTTCTCCTTTTAAAATAAGAACTGTTACTGATGCAATCAGTGATGGATCCTGTATCATGTAACCATCAAATCAGGATATTAAAGCCATCATTGCTCACAAAGTGCCACATATCAAACTGACAGTACTAATCTAACATATTCAACCAGAACTTGTCTGGGACAGTTATACATAGCTACGTGCACAGACATGTTGAGGGGCTGTAAAACTGGATAAAAATCCACATATGATGCATGTCAAACAGTAATAAAGGTTTAAATGATATGGCAGTTTATTTTGGTCTAAGTTTTGCAGTTACAGGCTGCTCATAGTTATGCTACTACGGGAAAAAGCCTTGTGCATTTAAACAGTGTACTTAATGGAAGGTAACATCATTGGTCACCTTCTCCGTGTGAGATAATTGCTTTAAAAGGCCCTGCACACTCACAGGTGTTTTAACTGTTCTGGCCAGGTCTGCTTGGTAGAAAAGGTGGGCAGCGTCGTGCTGTATTTACATCAGTTCATGATTATAGGTGTAATTTGTTCCACCCAAACAGTTGCAACAAAGCAAACAAGGGAGTGAGAGAAAGGTCAATTAAGCGCAGTACGTATGCCCAGTCCTGAAGAGAGCTGTATTAGTTTGTTTACCACATGGGAAGTAAAAATACAACAACTGCGCTGTTAAAATCATTCTTGAGTTAGAGCGAGACTATACGTTTTTAAGGAATAAACACTTCTCCTCTCTCAAATGAAAAGTAATTCCTAATGAACAACCCTTGCTCAGTTTAAATCAGTACACTACACTCTGGGGTGAGTTTATGGTGATTAATGTTACCAAACTTTAGATAGCAATGTCCACTACACTGCAACATCAAAGTCCTTTCACTGGCATGATGACTCCTGCAGTTGTACACAACACAGAATTTATATATCCTGTAATATAAGCCACCACTGTTTAGCCAAAGTTACACAGATAATTCACTAGTTTCCTGTGTTCTCTTAGTGCAGTTTAAATGTTCACTTTAGCTATTTTACTAAACATAAGATAGCAACCAGACCTGCATTTCCAGCTCATGTCTGAATGGTTGCAACTCACCAGTGAAGGAAACGAACATTAATAGCCACCACACAGAGTGGCATCCTAAAATAAGATCAAATGTTCCTTTATTGAGGAGAAATTCAAGTCAGACACAGCAGTTTAGGTGAATGTAGTACAACAAGTGAAACAGCTTAACTGCAATGAATCCTTTTAGACAATCTGTGAGCACAAACAAACCCGACAGAAAGCTTCAACTCTTTCTTATAACGCTACATTATTACATTTCCATCCAACATCCTTAAAATAAAGGGAGTAAAACAGGCTTATAACTCCACTAAACACAGGTACTTCAGGTCAGGAGGCAGGTGAGGAGTCGGGAGGGAGGGAGGGAGGAAGGGAGGAAGGAGGGAACAGCGCACGGCAACGGTGTTTACGACAGTTCAACGCCATTTCCGGCGCAAACACACGAAGAGCCAGTGCGACGAAAACATGCGAGGTCAAAAGTTATGGTCCTGACTTTGAACAGACACGGAACCTAACACGCAGACATGGTGGGTCGCAGCTGTCGTTCACGAAGCGTTAGGACAGTCTGAAAAAAATGGCTGCATGATCGGGAGTCAGCCGAAAACCTCCATAAACCATCACTATGTGTTATAATGTGCTAAGCTAAGCTAAGCTGTCTGACCCTGTCTCCCTCTCTCTCTCTCTGTCTGTCTGTCTGTCTGTCTGTCTGCAGGCCAGTTCCATGGTGGCAGTGGGGCTGGCTCTGGCAGCAGCTGGATTTGCAGGTGAGTAACTATAAAAGCTCAGTAAGTTGGTGGATGAGGGAGAGCTTTTTTTTTTAGTGACCAGTCACCTTGACACAGTTCAGAGTTGAGCCTCATGTTACTCATTCAGTGTTTGTATTAGTCTGCAGTGCAGTTTATACATTGGTTATTGCTTTTTAAATATGTATTTGCTTCATATAGGCCTATACGTTTTCAACCAGTACTTAATAGCTGTGTTTAGTTTCACCTGTCTTTGTAGGTTTGTTGTCCTGGATTTTAGCAACTTTAAACCAGAGTCAGATCCCATGTCTGTGATTCTGAAGTTGTCTGAAGTCTGAATATTAGTTTACTGTAAGGAAATGCTTCACTGGACAATAAAAGTCCTACAGTGTTAAGTGCAGGCTAATTGACAATGAAAACATGAAACACGGGAAGTAAACGAAGGGTGGGCAATAATTTAAGGTTATCATGTTGTTTTCTGTTGTTGAACTTAACAATTCAAAGCAAATTGTAAATTCCAGACAAACAAAATGAGTTTATCTAGACTATCTTAGCTCAAGTTTGTGTGTAATCATTTTATATGTGATATATTTTCCTTATAGTGATATAAATATTGGTAAAAATATTCCAAATAATGTTACTATATTAATTTTAAATATATCTGCCTGCCTACTAAACATACAATCCATATCAGTGTTTACATTAAAAAGACAATAGTACAATGCCATAAATATCTGTATCAGATGATACAGATATTTCAGATTTGCTCCTCTTCGTTGTCTCCCAGGTCGCTATGCCATGCAGGCCATTAAACAGATGGAGCCTCAGATGAAACAGGCCCTTCAGAGCTTCCCCAAGACGGTGAGAAGGAAAACATGACACAGCACATTTCTCTCTAAATTAAAGTATGTGTGCTAGATACTGTACCTCTCACTCTGTTCGCTTTATTTTGAATGAATGTTTTTGCCAGTAAGGATCAGTTAGCAGACCCGTCGTGATGAACTGGTAACTGTATATGTTGTTGCAGGCTTTTGGAGGAGGAGGGTACTATAAAGGCGGATTTGACCCAAAGATGAACAAGAGAGAAGCTTGCCTGATTTTGGGTGTCAGGTATGTGAACCCTCACTGGGCAACCATTCCAACAGTTACATGTTACGGTACATCTACGGTCACATTTAGGTCATTCTACATTACAGCCAAGAATTTACTAACCAGTACTATTTGCACTGATTATTGTGATGATAATTAACTGCTGTATGTACCATTGTTCTGTCTTTCAGCCCCACTGCCAACAGGATTAAGATCAGAGAAGCCCACAGAAAACTGATGACCCTGAACCATCCAGACAGAGGTAAGTAGGGCCCCACTGGTTTATATAGATTTTTGTTAGCCACTGTACGTTACAGTAGTGTGATATAAAATATAATAGTGCTCAACAGACTGAGTAAATAAACATTGTTTCTAGAGTTCACTGCATGAATCTGTGTTTGCTCCAGGTGTTAACTATGCTGGTTAGAGAGGACTTGTTACTCAAATGTATTATTTTTTCAGTACATAAATATATAAACTTCCAGATAGAATACAGATAAAGATAAAAAAAGGCAATGGACCAACAGTAAATGTAATGATTTGACTCTTGAACAGGTTTTACAGTCAGTCCTAAAGGGGAAATAATGCATGCAGCATGATCGCAAAAGTCATAGTAATAGTTTAGATCTTAGAGCACAGCAAAATCTCCTGAAGTTAAACTATAATATATGACTGTGTGTGTGACAGGTGGATCTCCCTACATAGCAGCGAAGATAAATGAAGCGAAGGATTTGATGGACGACCAGACAAAGAAATAGAAGACGCTGGACGATGACCTTAATGTGATTCTACGCTGATCTTCTCCATACTGTTGCACTGACTTGAGCAATTACCAGACTTTTCTAACGTATTGTTCTCAAATAAAATCACAATAAAAACGTTAATTGGATTCTCCCCCGTTATTTTTTTGTATTTTAGATTTACGTTTTGTACTTATCTAAAACAGGAACTTCAAATTTAATGACATATTTATTTTTGTGCGAGAGACAGACACAGTTGGGTTTCAGATCTACATGGAAGATCAAGTTTATTTAAGAACTACCTGCATACAAAACATATTGCACATCAACCAACCAGAACGATCCTTTAAAAAAAAAAAAAAACATACTGTAGTTGACCCAGCAAAAACACTTGGGATGTCACAACTCTCAGTAGTCCAAATTGTGATTTGTCTTGAAAGAAAACCCTAGGTAACGCATGTTTTAGTGTCAAGAAAAAGAAGAGCTTCTCTTGTTTTTGTGTGGTTTTTTTGTTTTTTTTAAATACTGTACATTTTTTAAATAAATAAACCAAATAAATCTCCTTCCGTAGTGGAACAGTCGTGACCAGTTTCCAGCCAGTCTGTGGAAGAACCATGAAAATGACATCATTGTCACCTGGGCTTGGTTTTCCAGAAACATCTCAACACCAGGGTAGTCTGGTTCTTACTGCTCAATACAGGATTTTTGCAATAGTGGGCATGTAAACTGGGATAGTAGCTGTATAGACACAGCAAACATCCTTTGAGTCTCTTGATTTAATTGGATTTCTCGGAGGAAACGGTACTCCATATCCGTCTTGAAATATTTGATGAAACTGCTCGATGTTTTGAAATGAGATGTTTCCAGGAAACCCAGCATTGATGGCTACATCTCTGTCCAGCAAAAAAAAACAGTAACAGGCCAGTTTCCAGACTCAACTACAATCAACTTTTTAAACAGAAAAAGTTTATGTTTCAGTGCAAAGAAAACAACTTTTCTATGGTTTGTTTCTTTTCCAGACACGCTGTAATAACATTTCTTCTATGACTTAAGTGGTTGCATATTGAAAAACAGAAAGCAGCTAATGTCAAACTCCTCAACATATATATATAAAGGATAACTTGTCTCATTTTCCCCACAAACATTAAGAATTAACACACCTGATTTTAAAAAGATATGCCTCTGAAATCCTTTCAAGGTCTTTCAGTGTTTGCCTCTACCTGTCTAAAGTGCCATAAGGGTACATATAGACCAAGGAGACAACTCATCTGGTTCATCTGTGGCAGGCGAGTGTGACCAACTAACACAGAATTGAGTGAAAAGATTTCAGATGGTGTGCAGAGCCAGGCAACAACATGTTGAATCTACTCTCAAGGCACAACAGCTGATCACATGTATGTCAAACATACTTGGGTTTTTCCAACAAACCTATCTGCACTGTGGTACTGCTCATGCAGAATGTTAAATTTACAAACTACTTCAGATGCACAAAACATCCTGTGGAAGCATCTTTTTGAGTCCACCTGGCAAAAGGCAGACTTTTTTTTTTTTTCTAAAACCCTGCAATGATATTTTTTTTTACCAATAATTAAAAAAAAGAACCGCTGCATTCATACCACAGTATGGGTTTGAGTGGAATCCCTGTCTGCATTTTATAAATACTGCATCCAGTCCAGCCTCTTCCTGAGCTCTCAATGAAGAGTGGACTGAAAAGTACAGTTAAGTAGATGTCTGTCAGTGTGTGTGTGTGTGTGTGTGTGTGTGTGTGTGTGTGTGTGTGTTTCACTGTCTTTGGCAAGCTCATACAGGAAGAACTATCGTACAAAAACTGTAGTAAAATGAATAGTTGGACTGAACACGAGTGTAAAGGGGAGGTTAAGGGTCAGACCTCTAAAACTTGCGCAGTGGAACAGGTTTCAAATATTTGTAAAGTAAAAAAAGAACAGTGCTTGTTGTATTTATATGTTTAAGGCTGCTCCAGAGACAGGGAGATTCAATCAAGTGCAGCCAAAGAATTGAAAATATTTGAAACCATTTCCTTTGCTCAGGTCTCACTAGGAGAGTCCGTTAACAACGGGTTGCGGGTTAGAGTCCTCCTTGTAGGAGACTTTGGCGGGCCTCTCTGTGGAAGACCTGGGAGCTCTGCTGCCTTCGCTGTCGGCAGCACTGTTGTTGGAACCATTGGTGGTTGCCGGAGCAGACGGCGGGCTGTGCTCAGCAATGGCATCCACCTGACCCTGGACAGAAATGTGGGATGAACAAATAATGAACTTAGAATGTATTCAAACTAATTCACCAAAAAAAAAAAAATCATACAGCTGCATTTACATTCAGAAGTAAATAAATACAGGAGCAGACAGAATTTAAAGAGAAAGAGGAAAGAGAGTTTATTAAAGGTTAACTGTGGTCTGCAAAAAATTTGTAAACACATTTAATTTAAGCACTAACCACATCCTTGGTTTTCTTGGCGTCCTTGGTGGTCTGTCTGCTCTGAGATTCGGCCCTGGATATGTAGTCCGCCACCGTCACTGTACAGACAAGACAACAAAGAAGAGAAGAACAGTGGTTATGACATTGTCTGTTTTCTTTAAATAACAGAAGCCAAAATGCTAACTCTGTCTGGACCCCGTCTGGCAGTATGAAAAGAGGCTTTTCAACAATTTCAGACTCCTCAAAGAGCACTCCGTTGTGCAGTTTACATTCACCACGTACAGTTGACATCCAACACAACATCACAGAGAAGTTAGAGGTCAGGCTTACAATAACACACCGCACAAACCAGGACTGCCATTAGTGTAACAGACAGCCTGACAACATGAAAAACAAACAAGCTGTCGCCTAGTTGTTAGTGAACAAATATTGCGCCTGTGAAATAGTACAAGTGCATGGCACGGCAAACCAGTGTGGACAGTGTAGTCAGTCAACGTCCTATCATTTAGCCAATGAGGCAAGCAACACTCAATAACCACACTGAAGAGATCTGAACGATTTAAATATCTTTATGGTTTAGTATGTAGTCTGTGGCACGCAAACAACCAGGCCTGGAGCACAACCTTTTTAGCCAAGCCATTAGGAGCACTTTTCAGAGGAGGGGATACTGGCAGTTGCCTTAGTTACCTGGCTGCCTCTCCTCAGGCAGGCGGATGCGGCGACGTCGACTACGGTTACGGCGCTGAGGTTTAGCTTCGGGGTCATCTAGGGGTGTTTGGTCATCACAAAGACAGGGATTGGGGGCTTAAATTGCCTTTAAACCAGAGACCTGTATCTGTGCTGCACTGGCTCCTTTTACATTCAAAATGGGAAATAATGCATTGCTGTACACTTTGGACCACTGACAGCTAAAAACAGCACTGTTACCTCTGACAGGCTTTCTTCCTAAGATGCTGTTCTTAAAGCACTGAAGCAGTCTTGTAAAATGATCTTGACTTCCCTACCTGTTCCATTTTCACTCATTGAGGCATTGTCCGACTCGGTCATGCCATCCATCAGTGTAGCGTCCTCGTCCGTTCTGCGTCGTCGAGATCTTCTGCGGCGGTTTGCAGGCAAGTTGGACTCACTAGCATCTGTATCGGCTGTCTGGTCTGTCTCTGTGTTTGTCTCCAAGGCTCCATAGGCATGGTGATCCTCATGGTCCCGAGGCCCTGCTGCAGGTATGTCAGGTTCACAGAAAATAGGTTATACTTACAGTCAAACGAATTGCCAAATGACAAGACTTTTACAAGAGAAAGGTATTTTTATATCTCTCTTTATATCCCCTAAGAGTGAATTTTACCAAAGCTGTTGTTGTATCCTCCTCTTCCGCCTCTTCCCCGTCCGCCAGTCCCTCCTCGGCCTCTGCCGGGTCCAGGCCTCCTTCGACCATCTCTTAGAGGTCGTTGGCCTCTCTCCCTCTCCCTGCAAGTCAGTCAGTCAATCAAAACAAAAACAAAAACAAAAACTCATGCACTAGAACTACAATAAAGATGGTAAAGAACAGCTGGCACCAAGGCAGATGCTATGTTTGTAGCAATAACACAGATTCCACTAAAAACTGAACACAGCTATGCATTTTGTACATCTTTAGGTTTTATAAATACAAAAAAAAAAACTCACCTGTCCTGGTCCTCTCCAGCAAGGGACCAGTCACTGAGCTCATCCCTGCGCTCTGAATCTGTCTCAGAGGCGTTGGACTGTTCTGAGTTGGTGCCTGTGAGAATCAAGCAAACACACGAGAGGAGAGAGAGACAGCCACACAGAAAGGTCAGGACAAATGTTAAAATACTGGGATACAGTTGGCTCCACACAACTACAGATTACCACAGACAACCACATTATCTGGCAGCAAATAAGTTGATTTTTTAATATGTAGTTGTAAAAGGTGCCTACCATATCCAGTGCTGTAGCTGTGGCCTCTGCGCCCACGCCCTCGACTGTTGTAGGAGCGAGTGACGTGTAAAGAGGATGAGGAGGCATTGGCACTACCATCTGTATTATATCCTCCTCCTCCTCCTCCTCTTTCCCCTCTGTCTCCTCTCTCTCTGTCAGCTGATCGGTGGCCCTGCGTGATCTGACGTAACTGTTCATCTATCTGCATCCTCTCCAGGCGAAGCTGCTCAACCTCCTAGAAAAGAAATAGGGGAAATGGTAAGAATAAAGGGAAAGAAAGTAAGACAAAAGCAGAAGCAAAAAAAAAGAAAAAAGAAAATTTTTGTGATTGTAATCTTTCGGAAAATCAAGCAAATCTCTGAGAGATGGTTCATCACTGCATACACAGGCATCATCATCATCATCATACACACATCTACAACACATCCAGTGTGCCTCGTGTTGCTTATTCTGAATCTTGCTAGGCTGCTTCCCTGTGTATAATCCACAATCTGCCTCAGCTCTTCTTCTAGCTGCTGGCCCTCCGAAAGAAGCTCCACCATGTCCTACAGACACACACACACACACACACACACACACACACACACACACAATACAGTGCAAAACAAACACACGCAAAGCACCAACACAACACAAAACATGCAAACAGCACAGGACACACACATACATACATGCAAAGTCCAAAATGTAGAAACAGTGAAATACACAACACAGAGAGACAAGGTGATTATCGCTGAAGATGATCATAAGTTTTAGAAATGTGTTGCCATTCACAATTAACAGTGTATAATGAGAATATAAAAATGACATCAGATAGCAGATATTCACACCAGGAAACTGTTTACTAGAGCTGGTATGAACTATATGTTCAGCTCCATGCACTCCTCTGCTTATGTGGTAGTTTTTTTTCCTCACACATTTCCTTCTTACTGTGATTTATGCGTTACAGGGACCATTAAATTTTTTTTCCCCCAAACAAATTTTTTTTTGCCAATCCAATACTTCTATTTTCCCAAATAATACAGGTGCATCATTCACACTTCAAGTACATTAAAGTTATTAAAATCAATCCAGTGTGTATGTTTGACAACTGAATAGCTCATCCTTGCATTAAGAATAAAAATGCATTCTAGCTGTTCTCTAATGTTTATTTATTTTTAACAAAATAAAAAACCCAGGATGTAATCTTGTTGGCCATGTCACTATCTCGAGAGAATTTCCCTCTCCTTTTAAAAGTGTGCTCCAGCAATTAATTCACACCTTTAATTGTGCAAACGGTAAAATGTTTCACCACTAATGTGTCTTCATCAGAGCCAAAAAATGTCACCCAGTGTTGTATCGGTGCAGCCTTTGCACAAGTTACCTGTATAAACTGTATTCCATTCAGTGTTTATTTCTGTGTATAGTATTTAGTTCTGTATCATTTCTGCTGATTACATTAATGAATTGCTCTTGTTGGCTTTTGCTGCAGTGGCATGGTCAGTGTGTCTGTTGTCTCTCCACTGCTGTCTGTCTCTCCTCTGAGCAGGGGTTGCCACTCCCTCCCACGGTATTGCTCTATGTGGTTTTGCTGCCCCTGCAGCTCAGTGGAGTGGAGGAAAGACAGACAGCAGAGAGCTGATGACAGCTGCTGTGCATGAAAGCTTTGTGAGTACAAACACCTGTGTGACAGCTGACGTAAAACAAAGGATTGGATCTGGCTCAATAAAGCCGATAGATCAGTTAAAAAATGCCTTGATTGGCTCCAGTACCAATCCCATATCACTTTATTTGAGTACATGCACAGCACAAAGACAAAGCAGTGTTACTGTTTAGACTTAAGCAAAGCTTAAAGCACTGTGAGATGCTGGTATACATGCACTCCATACTGCCAACTGAATGAAATACTCGTCTGCCAGGAGATGCATTAAGAGGCTGCCTGAAGGAGGCTGTAACTTGAAGCTGTGGCACTGAGTGAAGGCAAACAATTGGCAAAAACATACACAAGCAAACCTTTTTTCCTAATTCGGCACTCACACACACCCGTATACATCGGCATCCTTACATTGAGGTAAGAGATGTGGTATTCCAGCAGGACCTGGACATTGCCAATACTTTCCTTAGTACCGACAAAGGTGAATGGGACCATTCCCTGTGTCAACAAAACACAAAAACACAACACATATGTTAGTATGGGACTGACTGGACCAAGTAGAAAGAAAGTGTGTACATCATTTGTAGAGCAACCAAAACTTTGGACACTTCAGTAGCAGTAAAAATGTGGCAGTAGCAGGCTTACTTCCTGTCGGGGCTGCTTGGTGTCATTGTCTCCTTCTATCCTGACCCTCACCACACCAGACTTGTCCACAATCTCCTGGATGACCTTACCGTTCTTACCAATCACTTTGCCTAGGGACAGAAAGCAGGGAAAAGATAAGAATGCAACTAGTAACCACGAAACACAGCTGCAAGCCAAAAAGATGATGTGACTGCCCCTAAAACAGAAGTTTGGGGGATTTCAAAGCTTAGGCAGTAAATGTGTGTATCTACATACCAACAAGGTTCCTGGGCACCTGGACAGAGTCCTCCAGAAACTCCAGATAGTTCCTGGCCTTCTTCACTGCCTCTGCTGACTGAAAAGACAACACAGGGTTAATTAATCTGTTATATGTACAACTCTAGAGCTGTAAAAGTGTCACCATGCACATAATGTGGAACCAAAGTTAACAAGCTTGAGTTCCGCCCAGAAGGTTTTCACTTCTTAAAATAAAATGCCCTTTAAATCTGTTGTTTGGGAACAATGTGGGTTCCCTGTCAGCTACAACAGCAACAGAGAGAGTAATGGATAAGACAACAACGATTTGTCAACTAACTAATTGAATCACTCTTCCTAATGCACACGTTTGTTTTCAGTTTCAGTTTTATAGCCAATTGTATTCTGGGGATGTATTCTGTGTTCACACAGTGTAATACAGCAATGTTTGAAATGTTCTTTTTTTATAATGAAAATAGTATACAAAAGTTGCCAGTGGACAAAATGCTACCTCAGTCCCCGGCAAAAGGATTTTGTCTGTCTTTATCCAAAAAAAAATACACTGAACCGTGGCAACAGGGTATGAACCAAACCATGACTTCTGAGAAGTGTTACACCCCTAACTAACACAAATGCACAGTAAATACAACATACAATTAGCACAGTCAGCTCCCGGACTTAATAACAATCATAACAAAATAATGGTTAAATCCTCAGACACAAACACAAAATACACCCCTTCTTGTTTCAGTATAGTGTCCACAATGATTCTCCAAAACCTTTTTTTTTTTTTTTTTTTTTTTTACAGACTTGTTCATTTGTTCTTTTCCCTTCCATTATTGAAACAATCATACCTCTCCATAAATCCTGAAAGTGCCAGTCTCCTCATCCAGCTCAATGGCAGTGACACCTGCAACCTTCCGTGCTTGCTGGATGTTGTTGCCATGGCTGCCAATGGCCAAGCCCATCAGATCCGGTCTCACCATGAACTCCTCCTGGAAGGATGACACCAGCTGCCTAGAGCTCTACACAAACACAAGAGCAAAGTTTAATTTTTTATTTTTTTCTTTTTTACTTTTTAACTTTTTATTAGTTAATATTGCAAAAAGTTTTGGTTTTAATCAATTCTCAATCCGACAAACCTCATTTTTCTAAAGCCAAAACTGCAAGATGTTAAAAGTTTTTAAAATTTGCTCTAAATAAGTGTTAAAAATGTTACTAATCTTAAAAATAGTGGTGAGAGGAAAAGTAAATCGCTTATGGTTTCTTTTCTATTTACCTCCCTTTAGAGTATTAGTGGTATTTCGGTAAAACTAGCCCATGAGAATATTCTTACCAACTCCTTTACCATTACTTTTCGTTTTTCATCTGGGGTCTAAGCATTAAACCCTGTTACCTGTTACCTGTTCTGTATAAATTTAAATTATTAAAATATAAGTGGTACTCCAAAATACACTGACTGCTACAGGCTAGGTATGAGCAACAAGTGCTTTTCTTTTCTTTGTCTTCAGTGTTGTTTTAGGTAACTTCATATTAGTGCTGGGCTACCACACAAACATTTTTATCATGGTAAGTTTCTGGTGCAGTTTCATGGAATATCATAGTATTTTAAAATAGTACATTATAAACTGACATAACATACTCAAAGTATTTAAGTATTCAAAGACTCAAATTAATTAACAAAAATGTGCGTTGTTAATTGTGTTATGAAGTTATCATTGTTAGTAAGAAGAGTATGCAGTTAATAGGGCTCACTCAAACACTACACTGCTTGCCCAGACCGCAGCGCTCTTTGCAGCAGAAACAACACTGCCGCCTATTGAGGAGTTACAACAGCTGTTCCAGCTATACGACGTCATACTGGAGTATACAGCTTCATTCAGTATATTGAACCAGCTCTACTTCAGCTTCCTATGAGACCTCCAGGTCACCACAGTGACTTAACCACGCCAGTCTTGTTTCCAACTGACCTCCAGGTGTTTTGTGGCCTCGTGGTTGCGTGACATTAACAGCAGCTTGGTCCTGATGCTGCGCAGGTGCATGTCACTTAGCAGAGACACGCGCTTCACTGTCGTCTCATTCATGGACTACACACACGCACACACACAGGAAATAAAAAGAAAGAATAAGTCAAGCTTCTTGCTGAGTCATTCACAATACAAACATACTGAGCAGGACAAAGTTGCAACATATCATGTGGTAGTGTAGGTGTTACCATAAATAATCAAATGTCACCACAGAGTTACAATAAGGCAGTTACCACAATCACTAGTTGGCTGGTCTCGGGGCAATATGAGATGCGACAGGCTCCCACAGCTTTCTTAAAGTCCTTATGGGCATTCTCATTCTGGCTCCTGTAATATGAGAAAGAAATATCAATTCAAACTTCCGAACTCCTAATGTAAACAAATGTACCCCTATCTGACATGACAGGAGATTGAAATTGAAAGAAATCTTAAGAGCAGTGCAAGACAATACAGACAATATGTTACACCTACAAAAAACAATCTACTACATATATGCATGTTATTGTTAACTGTGAAGAGAACAAGTTAAAGTTTTTTAAAGTGGGGTTGTATGAGGAATTTATCCGTAGTCAGTGTATTACCTACAGTAGCTGGCAGTCGGCCACCCCAGTTTGGAGAAGCAGACATGAGTACTGGCACAGAAGCTAAGGAATGTGCTGCTGTGGACGGGGGGGGGGCAGCAGCAACTATGGTTCGTCATACAACCCCATGTCAATAACTCAAAATTATCCCTTTAAGCTTTGTCCCTCCTGAATGCTGTTAGTTTAAAGCTGCTGTACATACGCTTCTTGTAGATCTTGAGGAACAGGGACAGTGCACTTGTGAAAGGAGTTCTTGGTGATGGCCTTGTTAGGGTTGACTGGACGCAGACGCTCAAAGGTCACAATCTCATTGTAAGTGGCGTCGCAGGCGGCGTACTCTATCACGTAGAACTGAAAAGACAGGCAGGTTCAGTGTATGAAATAAAAGGAACCGACAATAAAATGTATATATTTTATAAGGATGCACCGATACTATACTCATTTACTCGTACTTGTAATCATAAAACTACTCCGATAACACTTTTTACGGGAGCGTGACGTTAGAAGCCGTGTGGAGATACAGTATTTTAAGCACCTTTACAAGGAGCAACATTTAATCTGTTACGGTCAGAAAGTGAGGAACATCTGCTGAAAATAAAACATGTTTTCGAAGTCAATGTTAGAATTGTAGTGGTGTTATTACGTACTCAAACTGGTACTCGGTATCAGCAAGTAACCAAATGTAAGTACTTGTAACTGGCCGGAAAAGAAATGGTACTGGTGCATCCCTAGAATTTTAGCCTCTTGATTATAAAGCAAGTGAAAAACAGGTTTTAACTAGCACTTTAATAAATTCTACTATGCTACACTGCTGTTTACCAGACATAGATAGATACAATAGAGTATCAGTAAGAATTTTTATGTAAATATTGAGAGTATAGTAAAGAAATGTATCTTCAAAAAAAGGAACAAGACTCACATCTCCCTTCATCATGCGGACTTTCGCCAGCCACCAACCACAAGGCTCCTGGTCATTGGCTCTGGACAAGATCTGATGAGAGATTAAGACCACGACAGAGTGAGACGGAGACGGATAAAGAGGGAAACCAGGAAAGAAAAGAAGTCTATATGTGTGTCTTAATTACTAATCAGAGTGAAAAGATACATTTCCCCAATGGGATAAATAAAGTAAGTAATTATAGTCCTCCTCACCTCCACCTCCTCGCCCTCTCCAATCTCCTTCTTGCCGTCAGCGGGCGGTGGCATCCGGACATCGTTGAACGGCACCTGGCGTTCTGGCTGCCAACTGAACATAAGACATGGTAATTTCTCACCTTCTTTTAACATAGTTACACTACATTGGTCTTCAAATTCTGAACTGTATGTGTTTTGTAAAGCAGCTGGAATACAGGAGAAAGAGAGAAACTCACTTGTTCTCAAAGGCAATGGAGAGAGAGTCATCGTGGATATCTTTGACAAAGCCCTGCAGGACAGACAGACAGACAGACAGACAGACAGGACAGGACAGGACAGGACAGGACAGGGGTAAGCAAGCACATACGAAACTTGAAACTGACTCAAATGAAGTGCCAACTATTTATGTTACACAGACTGTACAGGACAGAAAGCAAAGAGCTGGCTTTGATTCTTTAAGCAAGCTCTCTCCTTTGTAAAAAAAAAAATATTAAAATATTTAAAAAAAAGGCACAGATTACAGGCACATGGTTTTAACGTAGAGGAGCTCAATTAGTTAGTTTGAGTACTGCAATGTTAAGTGTATGTTAATACATTAATAATATGTCATGTGCATTAATAAATAATAGCAGCACTGGTCAAAGCAAGACTAAAGTTCCCAACTAAGACTATAAACACAACAAGTTCTTTGATTATTCTGAGTAAAGAGACATTTTTCTGGGAAACAGACATCGCATTGTTTTCACGTCACTTATAATGCTTTTGGGAATCAAACACAAAACTCCATTCAACCCCATTGTTTTGGTTTGGCAGAGTCCCAGCGGCTGACATCTTAAAAATCTGGACAAATTAAACCTAATGTCTCTGTATGACTAGACATTTTATGTGAAATAAAACATAACGCAAATATTTAAAAGCCATTACGCTATGTCAATTTGTCACTGTAGAAGTCTGTCCTCTTGTCCTGAAGCCTTAGCCCAGCACACAAGTCTGTCTAAGTGGATTTACAGAGGTTGAAAACACATCTGGGCTCTCCTCACAGGGACCCATTAGTCAATGTAAAATAGTTTGTCTTATTACAGAGCTCCCTGTCAGCTCAGTCACGCAGAAAAAAGCAGCGATTTAATCAGGAAACAGGAAAGACAACATCGGGACAAGAGAAACATTAACATTACTCCTAATGCAAGTGCAAAATATGGTTGAGTGTGAAGCTTAATAGTAAACTAATAAACTGATATTAACAGTAAATTGAATATCTTTAGGGTCTGAACTAACTTAGTCAGACAAAACATGCGATTTAGTAAGAGGTTGGAGAAATTGTAAAGGGCATATTATAATATTTAACAGGAAAAAAAACAATAAAAACATTAGACGCAGCCCTAGTCTATTATCTTACGCACATAAATACACTTCAAGCCACTTGGCCGGTTAAATCACATTTTAATTGAACCATAAAATCACAAAGCCGTAGTCCCAAGAGCCAGCTGACGAGCAGGGAAACTTAACAAAGTGACTCAAGAAACCAGGGCTGGGGGGGTTGTTAGACAGACAAGAGACATGCAGCGAGGAGTCGAGGGTATCAAATAGTAGTAAAGGAGACATCTGAGGAATGGAGGTGAGGCCAGGGGGAGAGGAAGAGGAAGAGGAGGAGGAGGAGGAGGAGATGGGAGGAGAGTAGCTAGGGACTGTTACAGGCAGCATGTCTACAAATAGCATTTAAGTCCTACAGTATCAGTGACCCACTCCTGACAGGCCAGCTGGTCGGGGATTGACAAGGAACAACTGGCTCACACACACACACACACACACACACACACACACACACACACACACACACACACACAACATAGCTTCGGCATGATGAAGTATCAAATAATAAAGACAAGCTCAATGAGAGCTCAAAATCACCGCCACGGAGTCTACAACACTTTTATTAAACAACACGAAGAGGACAGTGTGTGTGTGTGTGTGTGTGTGTGTGTGTGTGTGTGTGTGTGTGTGAGGGTTTCTTACAGCTCTGATAAAAACCCGAATATATATATATATATATATAACACAAGAAGTTACAAATAACAAACATAAACACCAAACAAACTTCACTTGAATCTCTTTTTTTTTTTTCGACGTCAACAGTTGAGCTAACTTTTAGCTCGAGGAAGCTGCAGCCGAAAACGTCAAAAACAATAAATAACAACACCTATCGGGTTGTTTACGAACACGTAGACTCACGTTACAACTGATGGGATCGTGTGTTATCGCTCTGTGAGTCTAAAGAAACGTCGTTAAACTATAAAAAAAGAAAAAAAAAAGAAAAAAGCAGCCGACGACGACTTGCGAGCGATGCTAGCTTAGCGTGCTAATTCCGTGCTAGCGTTGCTCGTAGAAGCTAATAAAAAGCATTTAGGTGGTTCAGAGCGAGTCTGAAACGGCCTCCGTGGGTCCATGAGGACTCCAGCGACCTTATTCCACCGTGTGAGCAGGTATCGTGTCTACTGGCGGCGTTTACAAGCCGGTATTTACCTTGTAATAAGCCCCGTTGGAGCCACGGACCTCCACCGCCAGTTCTTCCATATTGGACACGCAAAGGATGCTGGGACGACAGGTGCCGCTCCATGGTTGGTAAACACCAGGGCCGGCCCCAGACTGCAAGGGGGGGGGGCCCGAAGCACAGTTAGATTTTGGGGCCCTTTGTTACTGCCAATAATAGTGATTATTGATATCATTCAGTTCAATTCGGTTTTATTTGTATAGCGCCAATTTCATAACAGAAGTTATCTCAGGACTCTTTTCAAATAGAGAACTCTTTAAAACATTAATTACAGAGACACAACAGTTCCACCGTGAGCGAGACCTTGGCGACAAGGGCAAGGAAACACTGCCTGAAGCCTTAGCCCAGCACACAAGTCTGTCTAAGTGGATTTACAGAGGTTGAAAACACATCTGGGCTCTCCTCACAGGGACCCATTAGTCAATGTAAAATAGTTTGTCTTATTACAGAGCTCCCTGTCAGCTCAGTCACGCAGAAAAAAGCAGCGATTTAATCAGGAAACAGGAAAGACAACATCGGGAAGAGAAATATTAACATTACTCCTAATGCAAGTGCAAAATATGGTTGAGTGTGAAGCTTAATAGTAAACTAATAAACTGATATTAACAGTAAATTGAATATCTTTAGGGTCTGAACTAACTTAGTCAGACAAAACATGCGATTTAGTAAGAGGTTGGAGAAATTGTAAAGGGCATATTATAATATTTAACAGGAAAAAAAACAATCAACCATTATAAAAACATTAGACGCAGCCCTAGTCTATTATCTTACGCACATAAATACACTTCAAGGTCTTGTGTCATTAAAGCCACTTGGCCGGTTATTTACAGAGACCCAACAGTACCACCATGAGCAAGCACTTGGCGACAAGGGCAAGGAAAAACTGCCTGTTAAAAGGCAGAAACCTAGGACAGATCCTCCGGCTCGAGGTGGGTGGGCGTCTGTCTCGACCAGTTGGGGTGAGAGAGAGAGAGAGAGACAGACAGACAGACAGGTGCACAGCAAAAAGGACAGAAAACCACAGCAAAAACATGCTACTGAACTGTGTTGCACTGACACTGGCCATGTGTCAACACTGGAAAAATGCTTACTTCCTCCTTTTACGGTAAAAAAAAATGATTTTCTGTTTGAGTGGATAGAAGAACTGGAATTTTTATTAAATAATGTTTTCATGGTGGTTAGAAAAAAAGACACCTACTATAAATATACTTATTCTACTCTGTCATTACGAATACACTTGTAAAACTAAATGTGAGAACTTTTTGTTGTAGTCAGATTGTAATCCACTGTGATTAATGCCATGGAAGCAGACACCAGATTTGCAAATTTACAGAAAAATCTTTCAATTAATATTTAGTAAAGTCAGCAACTCTCCCTACTATACATAAAACCTTAAAAAGCAGCCCGGCATGTTTTACCCATCTATGGTTTTTAATCTGAAATGGTAGCAAATTCAGCTACAAGAGCAGCCTGGGGTTGATTAACACTTAATATTCAAAATTATATAGTACTAAGTGGGATACCGAATGTCATCTAGGCCAATTAAAAGTAACAAAATAAACTAATCGTTTACTGTAAACACAATCTGCTTTATTATTATTTTTTTAAATAAACTGCAACACCAAATGTACAAAAACAGACAGCATTAAATAAAACAAATTAAAAAAATATCAGACAATACTTTAATACTTAAATAATGATGTAAATCAACAGGCACCTAAAACAAGGTAACACAAATGGTAAATATAATTTGCATATAATTTATTTTTCGAATATGTGAGCCAGCTCCGCTTTACTTTTTCCACATTTACTAGGTGTCTGTATGTGTAATGTTAGTGGAAGCTTCGGCCATCGTGTCTTTTTGGGAATGTGAATGTGTCCTTTTATAGGCAGTGGCCCTCTAAACACACACTGTTACTGCTCTCTGGGGGGGCTCATACACGTGTGACTCGTTCACACACTTAAAATAAATCAATACATCAATAATCTGACTCCTTTGTTTACACTTGTTTTAATCAGAATCGAGGTTTATTGCCAAGTTTCACCGTACAAGGAATTTGCTTTTGGTAAGTTGGTGTGTAACAGTTGTGCAGAGATGATTATAAATAAAGATTAAACAGATAGAGATAATAAAAGGAGCCAATGTGTGCATATATAAGGAATTAATATGTACAATGTGGTCGGATACTTACATAAACAAGCGAAGAACTGGACAGAAATGTGCAAAAGAAAAACAACAACAACCTGGGAATCTGCAAGTTAGCACTAACTGTGACATTTATGTATTTATTTTACCTTTATTTTATCAGGAAGTCCCGTTGAGATAAAAACATCTGGCCAAGGTCGCAGCCGGTACAAATAACAGCATATTAAAATACAACATATACAACATAATATACAGAAAGATGCACAATAAAACACAAACTATTCAAACACAATGGCTTCTCAAGAAAAACAACCACATGCCTCCGTCACCACATTCTTCTTAATGATCTTTTAAATTCATCAATGGATATAACTGTGTCTAATTTGAGATCTTTTTGCAGATTATTCCGTGCCCCAAGGTCTTCCCCAGATCTGTCAAAACCCAAAGGTACATTAAAAAGTAACCACTTGGAAAAACATAGCTGGTAAGTACCAGAGCTGAGACGGAGCAGGTTACAGATATATATATATATATATACAATGTGCAAAGATAAAATCAGAGGACAGTGCATTAATGTAACACATATATTCAGGGGGGGTCAGTGGGGGTCCCGGGTCTTGTTGAGCTGCAGATGGGAAAAAACTGTTCCTGTGGCAGGAAGTTTTGGTCCTGATGGACTGCAGCCTCCTGCCAAAGGGAGAGTGACTGAAAGAGTATGTGTCCAGGGTGGGAGGGGTCAGCCACAAAGGAAGAGTAATAAAGGTTAAGTCCAATCAATAAACATATTGATCAGTTCACAATCTGCTAGTATCACAGTGGTGGAAAGTAACAAAGTGTACATGTACTCAAGTATTGTTATATTTTCTGCTCCACTACAATTCAGAGGCAAATATTGTATTTGACATTTAACTGATGATGTATAATTATAGATTAATATAAGACTTTATTACTGATGTAAACAATCTGAGGGCTTCCTCTATCACTGGTAACTAAGTACATCTACTCAATTATTGTACACAACTAATTACTTTTATTACTTTTATCCTACTTATAGGCTATATTTCAGAAGCAAATGTTTTTATCCCACTAAACTAGTAGTAACTTTGCTCTTTGCATTGAGATTATCCATACAGAATATCATCTTATAAATAGAATATGGGGCACAGTTTAAAGACATTAAGATAAGTAAACATACAAACAAACATTTTTATACCAAAAATATGATATATATAATATGTTTCTTTATATATACAATTTATTTAAGCGTACAACTGATGTATACTGTCTACATACATAGTAAAATAACCTAGAATTGGAAAACAGTATATACATTTAGAAGAAAGGGAGGACCAAATTACAAATGACAGACTATGTTAAAGTGCACCAGTCAGTCATAAATGTTGCAAATTAAGAGCATATAAATATAAGAGAGTATAAATGGAGGGAGAAAATGAATGAATTGTATAAAGGGTGAATCTGCAAGTAGCAGATGGGAGTCAACAGCAGTGTGTTTAGTTTGAGGTGGATGATAAACAGAACATGATAATGATAACTGTCAGGTAGAAATAAGTTGTACAGACTGGTAGCTACTGCAAAGAAGCATCTCCTTTGGACATTTGGTGGTATCAGCCAGACGGTGTGTTTGGTAGTCGTTCCGAAAAGTATGAAGGTGGCTGTGAGGTACAGTGTTGTCCATGATGCTCTATAACTACCTAACAGTATGTAAGATAGTTCAAATGGTCTCCCTCTTGACCAGCTACAACATTAAAACACTGTTTTCACATAAATGTATCATTAATAATAATATAACCATATAATATATAGTAGTAGAGGTAACGTAAGAAGTACTTTTGACTTGAAACTTTTGATACTTGTGCTTGTGATGAGTGTTTTTACACTAAATATTACAGTAGTTTTACTTTTTCTTAAGTAAAGGGTTGAAAGACTTATTTCACCACTGGCTGGAGCAGTCAGTTAACAATAGTTATACTTTTTTTTTTACCATATTAGAAGGATTATCGCAGGATATTACTTTTTTCAGCTGGAAGGCCACTTGTTTTAAATTACTTTAAATCACATGTACATGCCACACAGTCCTAATGGCCGCACATTTCTTACAAAGTGCCTCTAAGAAAATGTCATAGTAAGCATACTTTCTTTTCTAAAAATGTAATTCCAAACTTTTGTTTTTTATTTTTCATTTTAAAAACGCATTTTGTCTCAACAAAACCTTGGTTTCTCCACCTATATTAAACATTTTCAGTCAAGGTTTAGTCACTTTCAAACTTAAGTCATGAATACATATCTCCAGGGGGTTAAACCTCCTATTACATGACACAGTGAGCAGCGGGGGGAATATAGAGGAAGCATCCTTCATTCTGTTCTGATGAAGCAAACTTCATGTTGTGTTTACCTCACTTAAGTGAAGAGTTCTGGTCGCTCTGCTCTGTTTTACAGGCGTGGAGTCGGTCCAGTGAATTCCTGCACGGCCAGTAAATGCAAGTCAGTTCAAAGTCATACTGAAAGATGACATTTGTCCAGTGGTTCAGTTCTGTCCTGATGAGCGTTCAGTCTTCCAGAATGATAGCAACTGTGTTCACATGGCAACAGTAAGGACACTGAATGGACTAATGAGCATAAAAACAGTAGAAAACCCTGCAGATGTGAAGCAAAGATGATCAATAAAATGAGAGATTTTTAAGAACAACCTTCATAAGAACATTAAGTTATTTTTTTCCCCATCTTTCCAGTCCAGTTTCAGACACTCGTGGCTTCTGGACCGGGACTATCTGGGACTCACTTGAACTGTTGTAGGATCTTGTGCTAAAAAAAAAGGCTTATTGAGACTCTTAATTTTGATGTTCCTGTTATTATGTGACTGAC